CATTATTTTGTTCCTTTTTATGGCTGAGTAGTATAATAAATTATATATAATATATAAATATATAATAAATTATATATAATATAATATAATATATAAATATATATATATATATAATATAATACATAAATATATATATATGGCTGGAATCTACCAAGCCATGGTGAACTTCATAGTCATATAAGGCCTTGTAGCTGTGATGAGGAGTTTGGAATGTATCCTCTGCAATAAAAAACATGTGGAGGATTTTAATTAAGAGGATGACATAATCTGATTTCATTTCAAAAATATCCTTCTGGATGCTGTGTGAAAAGGGAAAAAAGACACACAGTCAAAGACTTGCCTGTTGGCTCAGTAAGAAGCGATGTTGGCCCGGCGGAGAGCGGCAGTGGTAGAGATGGAGAGCAGAGGGTGGATTTGAGGGAAGAGTTGACTGGACTTACTGATGTGTGAGGGAAGATTCAGGGGAAGAGAGAAAACGCAGAAAAGACCCCTCGCTTCTGACATGAGAAAACTTCTTCTGATTTCATAGCCCTGTAAGCAGCAGAGCCCAATTTAAAAACAAGGCTGTCTGGCTTCAATGCCGCTCTTGTCCTGACCTCAGATGAACTGCCCGCCTCAGCCTCCCAATCGGTGCCACCCTTGACTCCATTCGTACTGAATTGAACCCCAAAGTGATAGCTCCCTGGTCTCCCCCAACCACTTAATTGCAAACTCCCAGCACTAAGCCTCAGTATAGCATGGGCTCTCCCCAAGTCCTGAACCATAGGATGCCCAGCAAATAGACTCTCAGAGCAACCAGAAGGGAGGAGATATGGGACCAGTGTTTGAACAAATGCAAAGACCTGCCACTGAAGGCCTGGTGTCACAGAAACCGCCACCTTTTCCGGGCACCGTCCTTATTCTCTGAAAATTCTCACCTCATCACTGCCACTCCCCTTGTCCTCAGGGCTTCCCTAGGCAGCTATCCCCCGTTCTGTGTGGGCCTGTGTACCAGGAAAAGTCATCTCACCCACTCTGTGCTGCAAGGGGCATAACTGTGGCTCTGGAGAACACTGCGCTAGGTAATTCCTTCCATCTCTCATGAAGGAGATGAAGGAAAAGTGTAAAAAGTGGTTTTAGGGAAGCCAGAGGGGAGAGAAGAGTTTCTGGTGTCAGCCATGACAGAGGGTCCACTGGTAACAGAAACGAACGCGTTGGCTCAGTTTGGCTAATGGGAGAAAAGCGTCAGAAGGGTAGAGGAGCACGACGGCATCCCAGCACTGAGAGGCTGGGGAACGATGAGGCCATCAGACAGAAGCATACAGTAGACTTTCAGGCAATCTCAGCCACAGCAACTGGAAAGGGGGAAGTCAATGTGTATCTGAAGGAAAAAGCAGAACTAAGATGAGTGATTTTAATAAAAGGCACATAGGAAAGCATTTTAAAAGAGTTATACAAATATAAAGGATTATTAATATTTGGCCTTTTTTTTTTTTTGAGATGGAGTTTCACTCTTGTTGCCCAGGCTGGAGTAGAATGGCGTGATCTCCGCTCACTGCAACCTCCACCTCCTGGTTCAAGCGATTCTCCTGCCTCGGTCTCCTGAATAGCTGGGATTACAGGCACCTGCCACCACGCCCAGCTAATTTTTTGTATTTTGAGTAGAGGTGGGATTTCACCATGTTGGCCAGGCTAGTCTTGAACTCCTGACCTCAGGTGATCCACCTACCTGTAATACCAAAGTACCGGGATTACAGGACTGAGCCACTGCGCCCAGCCACTCTATATTTATTTATTTGAGAATTTATTTATTTATTTATTGAGAGTTTCAGTCTTGTTGCCTAGGCTGGAGAGCAGTGGCACGATCTTGGCTCACTGCAACCTCTGTCTCCCGGGTTCAAGTGATTCTGCTGCCTCAGCCTCTCAAGTAGCTGGGATTACAGATATCCGCCACCATGCCCAGCTAATTTTTTTGTATTTTGAGCAGAGATGGGATTTCACCATGTTGGTTAGGCTGATCTTGAACTCCAGATCTCAAGTGATCTGACTGTCTTGGCCTCCCACAGTGCTGGGATTAGAAGTGTGAGCCACTGCTCCTGGCTTTACTTATTTTTACCTTGATGCCCTATTTCACTAAACAAATTCACAGTGAAATAATAAATCATGTTTAATGCTTATTGGGATCACCAACACAATGTCTGACATATAGAGAAGGGCAACAAGTTGATTACTAAAATATAAAGTCAAAATAGATTGGCAGTGTCCAGGATAGTATCATGTATATGTCTACCCTTCCCAAGTAACTGGTTTCCTATTCTTTATGTTAGTTGAGAATAGATATTAAGTCCTATGTTTCTTTGTACTGGTAATACTCACCCTGGAAGATTGAATACAGTAGGCACTCAATTAATATTTGCTGATACATTTCAATTGCATATATTAGTTAACCTCTAGTTCTCAGTTCAAATGACAAACCATCTTTCGGCAATAGCCAAAATTACAACGTAATTACATTAAATTGCATTCAAATATATGGATTATCTCACCCTTTCTCCAGTGAAATCCAAATATGCTATTTCACCAATTAAATTCCTCCTTTATCAAAGTTCCATTAATCTCCTGGAGGTAGCACTGTGCTCATTAACTAAATGTCAAGTGAGCACAGACACGACTGTGGATTTCACTTAATAAACCAGAGCAATTTAAAGTAATTAGTCACATCTTGTGAAAAGAAGCCAATGTGTAGCCAGTTTAACCTGCTAGAGATCTGTGGGTGAAAAACACTCATAAAGTGAGGGACACTGCGGAGAGAAGCCTCATTTCCTTTGCCAAGGCTTTCAAGCCAAGCAATTATTTACCCTAGAAAAGAACAGAGCTGACTTGAGGAAAACTTTAAAAAACCATCTCGAGTGTTTGCAGAACACTTAAAAAATGTTAAACTGTCTAATTTACTGCCCAGATTTGGCTTATTTATCTGAAAACTTATTTTAGTAACATCTGAATTATAGTTTCTCTTTCACTCTAGTTTCCCACATTAATGTGATTTACTTTCCAGAATTATGAGCCGTCTTTATGCCATTTGCAATAGCAAAGAAATAAATTATAAAATGTATGACTTTGAACCTAGTAATTTTCAATATATGGATTATCATTTGGACTTATTTTTAACTCTGCACATTTATACATTATTTAGTGTACTTACAAATGCTTTCAAGAAGAGGATGGAATTAGGCCACTTTTATTAATGAGCTAGTCAATATAATAGACTAGTTATTATAAAAGATAATCAGGAAAATTATAATTTTTCTGTATTATGATACCAAAAATTAATTTATAGATTAGTTACTATAAAATGAGTTTATTCCATAACTTACAAAGTTACCATAATTGAAGAATAACAACTGAGGCCGGGCGCGGTGGCTCAAACCTGTAATCCCAGCACTTTGGGAGGCCGAGGCGGGTGGATCACGAGGTCAAGAGATCGAGACCAACCTGGTCAATATGGTGAAACCCTGTCTCTACTAAAAATACAAAAAATTAGCTGGGCATGGTGGCACGTACCTGTAATCCTAGCTACTCAGGAGGCTGAGGCAGGAGAATTGCCTGAACCCAGGAGGCGGAGGCTGCGGTGA